AAATGACAGTCCTGTTCTGACATCAATAGTTTGACGTTTGAGGTGTTTCGCTTTCCTTGTCTCAGCTGTCACTCATTTATAACCAGGTGTGATGATTTGAGTAATTAATTTAGATGGAGCTGATGAGATTCTGACATCAGAAGTTATAGATTATGCATTCTAGTTCAGGAAATTGATAACGAAGTTATCGTAAACTAAGTCACAGATGCAACAGACGATGAGGTGGCTTGTTGGCTTCACCTTGACTCGGTGAACATACAGTGTGAAATGTCAGGTTTGGGTATAAGATGATTGTTGTTAAACACTTTACAATATCAAACAAAATTTTCCCGCGTAAAATTTAATTATTGATTATATGAATACGAAGTAATTTAGGTGGTTTCGAAGTAAATGTTAAAAGAATTATTCGACACGAATATCACCTCACATTTCTTCAACTCCTTTCTTTGTGTTAATGCAGACTTTGGTGTGCTTCAGAATAATGTCCAGATAAAGTTTCGTATCAGAATACTAGTGACGTCTTTGGCACATATCTCTGGTTTCAAGGTCAGAAGCAGAGTGCTTTTTTAGACAGCGTTCACCTACTTCTTTCCAGTTCTATTGGCTTATATGGTAATTTATTCCTGTCTCGAGACATGAATTTTATAACCGCATTAGGTACGTTTCCAGCTTTGTCTTCGGGTAGTTGGGCTAATTTAAATTTGAGTTAGAGGTAACCTTCTGTGACTCGCTACTGTACACTAGGAACGCGTTTGGCCGTTGATGGAGTCAAGAGATATGCGATGTCCCTTAGCCCCTTTCTTGCGTAAATTCAATTAATACCTTAACCTTTAGGTAGAATATCCAAATTATCTGTCAGAAGTATTAGATTACAAAATTTTTTGAACTTCTGCATAACCGCCTTCTCGGATTTCTGTCTGAACAAAGAAAAATTAGTGTGTCTTGTACAGGATGAACCAATTTAAAACGCAACCCAACAGTAATCACGTACTGTGGTACAAAAATGAAATCAGAATTAAAATTACCGTTGCTGTTAGGGTTACGTTATAAATGGAATCCTCTTTAGCAGGGTGGTCAAACTCTTTTTCTCGCTCGGGCCAGAAAAGTTTTCCTGTTGGACCCAAGGGCTAAGAAACCCCTACTGTCACTATTTTTGCATAGTAGTTATCTTTAATAATATTTATTCAGAAATGACAAATTACCATTGCATATGCTAAAATATAAATTTTATTTAAATAAGCACAAACTGCTACATAGTTGTATATTATTTTAAATTTGCTCCTGCAACAGCTTGTCTCTCCCACAATTTTTACCTGGAAAATTTACACAAATTATTTGAACTCCTCTACTTTAACAGCTTGTATCTGATACAGTAACAATTTGTACCAGTAGAACGTATATCTTATGCTGTTAAAGTCAACGGCTTTAGTGAGAGCACTGAGCAGAATGTTCTTTTACCAGTGACGGAATATCAACTTTGAAAAAAATGGGTTTGTACTAACTAGTAACAAATTGACAAATAATACAGTACAGTGTACAGACATCTTGTTGCTGCTGTCTTCGAAGGCACGCACTTCTTCAGTTGTATCTGTAGTGCAATTATCTCCTGAGAGTTCTCACGTTCAGTCTTGAAATCTGCTGCACTCGATACTTTCAGCAAATGTCCTCATTCCTTTCATATACTTCGGCACGTCAAACATCGAATGTGGCCTCTTCCGTCTTTATAGCTCATCCTGAAACCGAAAGAAAACCGTAATATGGTGTCTGTACACAACAAACACTAGCCTTTGTATACTAGGACTATAGGAAAGTATGAAAGTATTAGTAGATTTGAGGTTTTCACGACGGTAAGTCCGAAGATGACTGTCTTCTGTTAAAGTGTTATTGTCTGATTTATTTTAATTTTCCTACGCTAACTGGTGCTTTTAGTAGCGTAGGTATGTGAACCTGAGGACTGAAGTAAGCGGAAACATACCAGCAGGATGTCTGCCAAAAAGAATAGTTTTTCTAATAAGTAGTTTTTAACACACATTACGAAGAATATTCTTCTTGGAATATCAGTTTGCCAGCTGGCAGATGCAAATACTGCAGGAAGACACATGTGGTATATGAGCCAGGCCGAACCAACGTGTGTGATCTCCCTAACAAGAGGAATTAACGTAGCTTGCAGGTCCTGTCCTCCATCTGGAAGGACAACCTCTCCAATCAGACCAAATTTTTTATCCATTGTTTTCTTAGAGTTGATCTGGTTTCACATGCCAATATGTCCCTCTTTTGTTTACCGACGGGCTACCGTTGAAGTCTACGTGTGATGTCGAAACATTTAAACGATTAAAATCAAATAAGAACGTGTGCAGTTAAGGTATAGAATTTAAATGATTTTTTGTACGATAGTTACAACTCTATTATCCTTCGTATCATATTACATCTACCACAAAGTATACACAGTTTGTATTAAATAATTCGGAACAAATTCTGATCATTAAGCTCATCTGTTAATTCGTGTAGGTTAATAATATGACTAGAAGGTAATCCATGAAACAGGTTGGATTCTTGGAAAAGCACCAAACTGCCCTTCACTTTTATCACTGATTATGAAGGCCTGAGAAGTTCAACTCGAAATTCTTATCGACTTGCACATGCATATTCCACTACATTATGCGGAAGTTTGCTTCTAGCACACCCAATAGTCTGTAAGCAGGAGGATTCTTGCGTTGGTGGAACACCAGAGCTTTCTTCGAAGTGTTGGATCTAGTTCAAACTAGTGTATATTTAGCCATGCTTTCCGTGGAAGAAAAAACTGGATGTTTTGTAAACACCGCCAGAGACACGGTTCCATTGTAACTAAACAAAATAAAGGGCAAAGGCTATATACATTTTTTCTGAAATCCGTATTTTCATAGTCCGATTTTGAGGCCCGGAATTGTGTCCTACGTTGGGAACATAGAGTTCAGTTCTGTGTGAAATTTTTGCTAATTAAATAAAATAAAATACCTCTTTTTCATTAAGACATAAGCGAGATTCTGGTTAAATACAGGAACAGAGATGAAACTACATAAACAGTAGCTTCGTGGTTTATAATAAACGAATATAGTAAATAGTGTTAAATTTGCCGTTATTTTTCCGAAGTGGTACTCGACTACGATTCGAGTTCTGGTTGCGGGTGTTGATCTTCTGGGTAGTAACGCCTAGTGGACTTCTAGGTAAACACCAACGTTTAGGAGGAACATACTGTCTCCGCCATCAGCCCTGAAGACCAACATCGACACCGCCGTAAGAACACCAAACGTCCTCTGTTCTAGTTACGTTACGGTCGTATTTACATTTTAACCAATACCAAATATCCTTCACATTTCTTACAGCGTAGTATATAACCCCTGTTTAATTCACTCGATTTGTCCCTGATCAGAAAAAAATAACATGCCCTTTGGTTTCGCCTACAGAAAAATTCAGCGAATGGATCTCTCTGTGTAGTTAGTTAGTATTCGGGTAGGCAGTATGACCTCTGAAACGTTGGTAAACATCTACCAGACTACACAGCGCAACAACCCAGAAGACAGAAATCTTTATACTCACCGCTGTGAAAACCTCAAATCTTACAAATTACGTGTTCGTTCTGTTTTTACACTTCCGGACAGATTTTATCCAACGAATCCTTTTGACTTCAAAAAGAACCTCTGAATAATCAGGAAACCAGAAATACGTGGACATGAAAAGGAGAACATTATTTTTGTACAATATACGAACATGGTAGCGATTTTATTTAGATAAATCAACTGGTTGATGCAACTTATATATAAAATATATGAAATATTGGTTTTCCAGCAAAAATTGAATCTGTTCGTTGGAGTGACGTAATTTTGTATGCAATATTTCAAAATCAAGGTCGGTGAGGTTATTAGGTAGGCTGTGGCACCCTGTTGGTGCCAGAACGCCTCGAGGCCGATCGCCCCCAGTCCCTGAACCATACCAAGTTTTTATGTAAAACAAACTGGGCAAAAAAAGTTGAAATGTCAAGCTGTCACTGCATCCACTGTACCTCATTATCAAGACACGCTGAGATGGTTTACAGTAGGTCGTGTTCGTTTTCCAGAGGATCGCAGTTTCTTCACGACATATGTTCGAAACGAACGCTGTAAAATTCCATTCCCTTTTTTGTTACCTAGGGATTAAGAGGTGGAAAAGTACTGACACACTGGAAAATGAATCACTTCAAGAGGCCTGCAGGAAACAACGCAGGATTCACGGGAATCTGGGAGGGGCTACAAGAGTTGTTGTTGTTGTTGTATACCAGGGGTGTCCGAAACACGAACTGCAAGGCGCGTTATGATGTTCGTTATTACTTAGGCTACATACGGCCTTATTCGTTTCATTCACACAGTACAGTAATCGAGAAACGAACAAACGAAACCCTGGAAGGTGATTATCTTCCAGGAAGTTGCACCATGAAGTCTGGTAGAAGAGCGCTGATAATGGAGGCAGCATGCGTCTCTGAAACGGCGGTGAACCGTGGGAAACCTGAATCTCACAAATAAAAATATACATTTTGACGGACGTTTCAAGTCTGTATCTTCGGTACACATGTTTACTGTTGGGCGGCAGGGCGAGAAAGTGGCTTAACACCTTCAGAGCACATTCGTAGTTTAGGACAGAGGTTCTCAGCCCGCGGTCTCCTAATGTCACTGTGCTGACCGGGCTTGTTTTTGTGGTGTTACGTCACTGTATAATGAAAACAATTGCCACCTAAATGGAGTACGGTATTTAATTCTAAACGAGCTGTTAATAAAAATGTAGAATTAACAAATGTGCATAAAAAGTTATTGAATAGTCTAATATTTGAAGCTCTTTGCAATAGTAAGTTTGTAGCACTTTTAAGGAATTACTATGAATTTTCAATAAATTGCTGTTTGAAACCCGGTGGCCCGAGAGTTGATGAGGACTCCTGTTTTAAGAACTTCTGTCCGAATGGATTAATAATACTACTTTATCTTCTGATATAGGTCTGTGTATAAAGCAGCCATGAAGATGGAGGCAGTTTGTTCCTCCGAAACGTTGATGTCTATCGCATTAGAACCCGGAAGACGAACACCGACAGATGCAGAGTTCTTTGAATGATTCATACCAGGGTGAGTAACTTTTCATTCCGTTATCGAAAGGTCCTATTTAACAGCCATGCGCCTTAATTGACAGACAGATATGCCCTCCCCATTATTAATTCATTTTATGTATTTTATTGAATGAGTACATAAAAAGGGAAAGGGAAGACAACACATCACTTCGAGAGTTTTAAGGAGTCCGAAACAACATTCTTGTTTCTGGTGACAAATTAGACAAAGTAGCGCATTGAGCGACTAATACGCGGGTTCCATTCGTCTAGTATCTTTGTCGACCTTATCATAGGGTAAGATTATTGAGTGAGTGTTATTGGTGGGCACAAAATGTAATTTGCAAGCAGTCGCTGTTTTTGGTATTGCGACTGTAGATAGCGTAACAATTTCACGAGTGGGAGACCCGGCTTTATTTCTTACTGTTATGGAGCTAACTGCTTAGTTGGTAGGCTAGCTTTTGTGTCTTCTGGTAGAGACCACATAAACAAACAAACAAAAGTGAGCCGCTGTTTCTATATGCTTTGTTAACTATCTCATAGTCGGAGTCCATAATAAAGAGGGAAAAATTACGCAAACTTCAATCGGCAGAAGATGTGACGTTCAAGTACAGTTTTATGAATTTTCGTATAGTGACTCACCACATTTATCTTCTTGTTATACAAATGGTAGGCTTATTCCAGTATGACGCCTTTCGTATATTTTTGCATTTTCCTGTAGGTACTGATGAAATTCTGCTCATGATAGCCGGCCTTCTGCCCTAGATTCAAACTGGCGATCTCCCAGTACTGACGTTTACAAGGCGACATGTTATGTGGGAACTTTGTACAGTATTGTTAAAAGGAGATGTATATATATCTGTAGCAGCTCGTTGAGTGTGCATGATTCAATGGAAACAGCAATGTTATGCACTTAGCTGTAACCTTACGTTAATATTCACAAGGCCAAGACATTGTCGTGTCGTATACAGAGTGTCTCAAAAACAACCACTGCATACGTCATCACTGGGACACTCTTTATAACGGATAAACTGTCGGATGTTAATTTT